TATGATATGTTTTTGTTTTTGTTGAGGCTTAGTGTTCTAAGTTTTAACAATGATGACGTTATAAGTTACTGAAAAAAAATCAACTTCATAGCTGAGATGCTGACATAATTCTAATCACATTAGTAATACTTTTGCTATAATCCATGATGCTAGAAAGATGTAAAAATGTAATTTCTAAATTTTAGAACAGCCGGCCTTCAAGCTATCTATGAGAGGAGTTGACACCAATTTTGTTGACTTGACCTATTTTAACAGCAGGTAAAGTTATCCCCATAGTGCTATTGCAGTCTGTACACAGTAAAAATTTCTGTAAAAACATATCTCATCACTCTGAAACCTTAATTGGGAGTCAATCTCTTCTATTACAAAAAATCCTGTATTTGTGTGTGTGCGCGCGTGTGTGTAAATCAGAAATAAGCATTTGATGACATACTGTAGTTTTCTTACGTTAAACTTTTTTTTATTATAGTAACATACTGGAGTAATTAAAATAACTTCACCATACAGATAATCACATGCTAGAGCATGGCAATGCAACGCTAATTGCACACTGTATTGACATTTCAAGCACATTTTCTGTAACAGCATTTGCATTCATATACAGGTAGTAAAGCACATGGGGATAATTTGAGTCATGATTTATGTTAGCAAATGTATTGCTTTCAAGCTAATCCTCACACCCAGAATCTTCGGCAAATCCATTAATATTCAAATGTTTTAGCATGTACAGTAGTTATTGTATGAATTGAATAGATCAGGACCAAGAATTGCTGTTAGCCTTTGAAACAGAAATATCAGTGTTATCTCATTTTTTTGTAGGGGAAGCCTTCTTACTAATTTAGGAATTATTTGGTCCATTAATTATAGTTCTACTTAGATAATACAGCACAGTTTATGTAGCATGTGTAACTTGAATAATTTTTCCTCAGTATACCATATACCCATTTATGACAAGGCCCAAAAAGGACCAAAAAATGGCAGCAATCTCAAAATGTGCAGTAAATTTTAATATACCAGTTTTGGTTGCAAGGCTTACTTATAGCCATGTATCTGGCTTTATATGGATCAGGACAATTAATGCATTTTTAGGCATAGAGACTTCAACCTGGTTCTTAAAAAAAATCTCAGCAGACAAACTGAACTTGATGCAACAACATATTTTATCTATGTTTTATTATTGCTGAGGCAAAACCACACCACCATAAAATGCAAGGAAAACCGATGCCTAAAAGGCAGGATTTCTCTTTTCTTGGCTTTGTTAATACAAAGGTCAAAATTTCACCTTTGAACTAAAAAAGAATAAATAAATAAAGAATAAGCTGTGTAACAAAATTGTCATCATGAATATATTTCTAAATTTTTATTTATTTATAAGTCAACATTAGCCCAAAATAGTTAGATAACCAATATGGCCCTTGAAAATTTAAATTTCTTAATTTAAAGAGAAAAGCAAATTTTCAAAAAATCATCAGGTTACAGGAACACAATTAATTGTACAGTTATACATTTCATTATTTAACCCCTAGGACCATGTAAACTAAGACTCAAAGTTTAAATTAGCATCACAGAACAGAAAAGGAAAGTTTTCTGTCACTCTTGAGGTATTTATTATTTTTTTAAAGAATATATATTTAAGAATGAATCAATGTTTTATAGAAAAATCAAATAATGGCATTTCTGCAGCTATCAATCATTGATACTTTTGAAAAAGTAATGTATATGTTTAGAGCTAAAGAAATTTTTTAAACAATTAGTACTTTGACATCCTAAAGAAGAAAGTATTTGGATTAAAACATCTAAAATTTCAAGTTACATACAAAATTCCATACTCATATCCTTTACAAATTAAAAAGAGAATTAAAATGAAATCTTTTTATTGATGTCTAGAAGCTATTATTACCTAGTTGGGTATAAATATTAGATGAAAAGAAGTTTAGGTTTCTTCATTTGGGTTTGGTTTGATTTTAGTTTTAGGGAGGAAGAAACAGTTGAAACTGTTTGTGTATTTAGATATAATTTTGACATATGATAAAATTTGTAAAGTTCTTTGCATCTTACAGATAACCAAGAACATTCAACTATGTTCCAGGCTGAGTTGCCATTGCCATTTCTATATTTGATCCTGTTACAACTTCATTTTTAAATATTTAAGGTAAATGCAATGCCACTAAAATAAAAATTTGTTGCTAGTAAAATTAATCAAAATATGAATCACAGTACTTCCTTCAATAGATTATATAGAGTGAATGGTAACTAATCTACAATGCTGGATTATACAAGTGAAAACTAATTTGCAGTCTCAGACTATATCTGTAGGTAATGATTTAAAATAAAAAGGTTGCTTCTTAGACAATTCTAGAAATTATTCAAATCTTGCACAGTTCTAGAAAGCATTCCAATCTTAAATTTACTGAATGAGCAGGGATATTGTTTTTCTACAGCAGAATAAAAATATGCTTTCCTTGTAAGTAAGCCAAGTTCCCCTATTAAAAACCTCTGGTAAGATTAAGTCGCTTTTGGAATTTTCAGATAAAGCTATTTTCTCTCCTAGAAAAGGGAGTCAGATCTGTACCATCACTTACACCGATATGTTTTAACCTATGAATAAAAAATTTATAATAAAAACTGGGAAATAATTTATACCTCTAAAACATTTCCATGGCCTCCCGGGACTACCATGGTTTATTGTTGTGTCTTTTCTTCTTAGTTGCTCGTTAGGGAAGAGCACTACAGCAGACATAGCCCATAGCATACCAGGTAGTATATATAAATAATGAACACAAGGCTTTTATTTGCAACTTCATCATATGAAACTAGATCAGTCTAAATAGGCAAATGAAGGCAATAAAATTTGAACTCTCAAAATAAGGCCAGATATAAGTAGCTGAGAAATGAAATGTACTTGTTGAAATCAATTTGTTGGGTAGTTTGATGTATTTAAATTTACTCTCAGAGTTTAAATTTGTGTATGTTTACATATGTGAGTGTGTTTGTGTTTTCTGGGAAGAGCATTTCTCCTAGTGATGGACATTCTTATTTTTTGTTTTAAATAAAAATTTTGCTCTTGTACAAAAGTTGCAAAGCACACACTCTAGCAAACAAAGTAACCATTTGTGATTTAAGATAATGCAAAATGAGTGGCAAACTGGGCCGATATCATAGACACTTAAAGATAGATATATATATCTTTATATATATATATATATGGGCCAAATCATGAATTTAAAAGAAAATTGAACTCCATGAAGACTTATTACTTGTTGATCATTCTTAGGTGATTCCATAGTATCCCAATTTTGGCATTATTTTTTCTAAAAAATACGTAACATATTTAAGAATTTACAAAATGGAGTCATAAACAATGTAGTCACTGTAATTTCCTTCATTCTGATACCCTTATTCTCTTCTTCCACAAAATAGCAGTCTTCTTTGGGATGAATGCAGGTAGGAAAAGTACCAAATATGGATGTTAGGTAGTCATAAAGAATCAAGTAGCTAGCAATAATTTAGGAAAGAAACAAATGATTTCAGCCTAAAAAAGACTCAGAAGATGGCTTGAAAAGCAAAATACATCTAACTTATAACTTTGGGTTGCCAATTATTCCAGCTGTGAATTAAACCAGGCCAACTTGCCCCTCTCAGTTCTCCTGCTTTGGGGCCATTTCTTGAAATAGCTTTTATAATAGAAAAAGGAGGTAAAACATTCATGAATTTGGAAAATAATTAGCAGCTGGGAGAAAATAAAACTGTTGAGGGAGGAAGTTTAAATAAATTCTAAGAAGTGATGGTTGCACTACTGATTTCAATGTCAAGGTAGTACTGCTTATATTTTTATGGAAAACTGAAATCCCATTCTTGGTTTTAAAAACTGTATTCAAGAAAAGAAACTGCTATGAAGCTTTTGCATAATAATTTTGGACAAGAAGAACACTTCGTTCTCTGTTTTGATTTTTTAAAAAACCCTCAAGGGTATATTGATGAGTTGTAATATGTGGTAATTAAAATATTCTATTCACAATCCTTTAATTGTTTTCTATGGTGCAATGAGAAACTACTGTATTAGACTTTGCAATATAAGTTGGTTTCAACCCTGAAAGATTTATAAAAATAAGTTTGTCTCATTATCCTATGACACTAAAATGTCAGCTCTTCTACTTCTGCAAAACAGGAGAAATTGAATTTAACCATATGTTAAACCCATCAAAGATACACTTTCCAAATAAAAATGAGTGGTATAAAACATAAAAACCATATAGAAAGATTTTGTTACCACCATTTTCTGTTCCTTTATGTGATTCTCTATGAAAAGTAAAAATGAAAGTTTACATTTTATTTTTAACCCACTGGATTGTCTTCTATTTTATTTATTTTTATCTTCATTTTATTTATTTGTTTATTTATTTATTTATGAGGTGGAGTTTCACTCTTGTCACCCAGGCTGGAGTGTAATGGCACGATCTTGGCTCACTGCAACCTCTGCCTCCCAGGTTCAAGTGATACTCCTGTCTCAGCCTCACAAGTAGCTGGGATTACAGATGCTTACCACCATGGCCGATTTTTGTGTTTTTAGTAGAGACAGGGTTTCACCATGTTCACCAGGCGAGTCTCAAACTCCTGATTTCAGGTGATCCACCCACCTCGGCCTCCCAAAGTGCTGGGATTACAGGTATGAGCCACTGCCTCCAGCCTGTCTTCCATTTTAGATCATAATAGATCTCACTAGATCCTTACCGAAAATGTATGTTATTACAAGCAGCTAAATTTCCACAGAGAGAAATAAAAAGGTTGGAGAATCAGGTTATGAATTTTCTAGTACTTTACAGTGTGCTATAGTAATGATAAACCCATTTTAAACGTCTTAATCTTATCAACACCAGGTTTCTAAATCTTTTTGTTTCATTTAAAATGGCTAGTATATATGAGAATTTTTCAGGTATTATACTAAACCCTTTTTCATGTCAAAAGGCATGTTATCTAGAAAATAATTTAACACTGTAATGGGATCTTCAAGATCAATTTTTTTATATACTCTGCAGCAAAAATAACATTTCTAGTAGGAAGGAATTAATTATAAACCTAGCAAGTTCTAGACATTCACATATTTGTGTAAACAATTTTAACATGGTTTATTACATTTCCAGAGAGGTTAAGTCTTATATTCCATGTTCTGCTAATTCTTCTTTCATATATTATTTAATATAATAAATATATGTTATTTGAGTGCATATGTGTATATATTTTCACACATATATATGTCTTATATACATAAAACAGCACTTAATGGTCATGTTCTTTGCATGTTCAACTTCAGGGGAAAAAAATGAATTGCTATTATGTATAACCAATGGCAGTCTTCCCTTCTGTTTCACAAATGGCCATATCTGGATGTAAACAAGACATTGGAGCGGGTCATTCCAGATGAATTGTACTTCAAGTTGTAAGTCGGTGTTCTCAAGAAGAACTGGGTACTCCCTGGTAGTAAATACCTAAAAATGATAGTTAACAAATTAGATTTGTACAAGCAAATTATAACTAACTCTCTCACTAAAGGATTATGTGGTTAGCAATTTACATATTCTATATAAGAAATGTCACTGTAACAAAAATGCAATTCATATAAAAAGATTTCCTCCCCCAGACTGTAGAAAAGGAGAGAAGAATCATATATAGATACAATATATGATGTTAGTATCCCAAGACTTCCCATAAAGAGCCATTGTGCTCAAATGCTGTGAAACTGTTTATGTGGCTAATGTTAATTTAGAATTCATCACCAGTCCTTGGAAGTAATATGTGGAGTCAGTCAAATATTGCTTTAAAACATGTGATTTGAGAATTTGACTAGCCATATTAACAATAACTGTTTGTTTCAAGGGAGGCAGAACCACTGCTTATAATTTAATAATAGATCATTGATGTATTATTACTATTACAGGTAATCTAACAGAAAAAGTTAAACATTCCTAATAGGAATATAAATTTTATATTCTTTGGCCATAGAGTGCTTATGATTACAGAATATGAAAAACCACCATGATTACAGGTTGCATATAACCCTTGCAGCCAAATGTATTTCAAAATATGTGGGTTTTTTTTTTCAGATTTTAGAAAGACACTATAATGCATTATATATAGTATATTATATACTAATATGTATATTACTGTATAACACCTCCATCAGGGCCTTGGAGCAGCATCGTGTACACAAACCATTTACATTTCTGTAGTAAAATGTATTAATATTCACAATAAATCAGATAAGGACTACAAATAATTTCATGTCAATTCAGGTCAGATTTGCCAGCACATGAGTTACCTTTTTTTTTTTCTGAGACGGAGTCTCACTCTGTCACCCAGGCTGGAGTGCAGTGGTATGATCTTGGCTCACTGCAACCTCTGCCTCCCGGGTTCAAGTGATTCTCCTGCCCAGCCTCCCAAGTAATTGGGATTACAGGCGAGTGCCACCACACCTGGCTAATTTTTTATATATATTTTTAGTAGAGACGGGGTTTCACCATGTTAGCCAGGATGGTCTCAAATGGGTTACCGGATTTTTCAAGTTTTCAAAGCTTTGGAAATTAGGAATTGCAAGTAAGAGATTGTGTACCTGTAGAAGCTGTTTTCCTGTGAAAAATCTTAATTAGCATTAGGCCAGTCCAATCTATATATGTCTAGAGAGAAATGGTCAAGGAAATCCACATGAACAAATGAAAACAACACTATTCAAAGTGTAAGTTCTAGTAATGATGAGAAGGAAATGCTATAAAGTCAGGACAAAGACACTTATGAGGAATTTCCAAGAGCAGAAGCAGGAATATAAAGAGATTTGTAATTAGCAGTAGTCTTGGGAAATAAACAATGGTATGGAATCAAATCTTTTATTTTCTTCATTTGACATTAGAATCCTCCAGGGACAGTATCGTACTCCCATAGATACATGAAAAACGGAGGGCCTAGGGTACTATTAGCTGTCTATTCTATGTTAAATAATACTGATAACTATGATAATTCTGTATCAATGGAAAATTATATTTATAGTTGTTTTATATGAATTATGTAGAAAGAAAAGAAATTCATTATAATCAAACTATACGCAGCATTCAGATTAAAATAGCAGAACTTTCTATAATATCCATAAACATTTTATCATGAATTATCTAATAATATCTTCTAAACCTATTACCTAATATCACAAACTGTAATTACTCAAATCATTAAGTTAATAGAGCAGTAAAATAATATAAAACAAACCAAATTAAATCAAAATTGCATTACAGGTGATGATTAATGAAACAAGTGATTTCTCACATCATAGATTATATAAATTATTTTCTTAATATCACTTGGGTAATTTATATGGATTAATTATTATGTCAACAATTGGTGGGGTCGTGATGATTGATCCGATATCTTCTGCCATGAAAAAGCTATCCTTCCTATCTAGGGCAAAGCTGCAAAAGAAAACAAGGTGTTTGATCAAAATCCACTGTTCATATTAGTTAAGAGTTATTCTACCTTCTATTGAAGATGCATTCTGATAGTACTGATAATTACACAGTAAACAGTAACTTCTACCAACTTTCTTTCAAAGACTTTCCAAGCAATAGTTACTATTGACATTTCATTTACATATACTTTTGAGATAAAAATCAGTATTTTGCACATGAAAAAATAAAAGCAAAAAGTCCAGGATCACAATTAACTTACACTGTTTTACAGAACAAATATTTAAATAGTGTTTTCTATGTGCCCAGCACTATTGTAATTGCTTTACAGATATCAACTCATTTAGTTCTCATAACAATTCTATGTGGTAGATATTATTGTCAGCTCCATTTTACAGACAAATAGACTTTATGAAGCATACCAGGGTCAAATGCCTTGCTCAGGGTCTCCTACCTAGTAAGTGGCAGAGCCAGAATTCAAATCCATGCAGGCTAGCTCCAGCAGCAGAGCTCCTAGCAACCATACTATATTGTCAAGACAATTCTACATAATTATCTTTGTATATTAATTTCCGTTTTAAAACTAATGGGTATAATTATTATACTCATTTTCCCAGAAATATGAAGTATAAAATAATCTAGAAAGCAGAAAGATTATCATGCCACAAACCTAAACTTTTTAATAGCACAGAAAAATATGAAACTTTTTTTTAAGACTTGAAAAGAAGTTCAGCATGAACTAAGAAAAAGCATATAAAATTACATTAGAAGAAATACTTTGCATCCCTAATACAAGTGCTGTAGGATATTTTAAAGTGTTGCAGAGAAATACAATGGATTATTTACCTTAATATATCCATTAATATGTCTTGGGAGATCCCACACTAGCTGAACATTGATGATTGTTTTCGAAATGTTCCTTGCAATGAAGTTAAATAATTTGATTTTTTTTAAATCAAGAAGACTATCTCAAGGAAGTGGGCTTACAGATTAGAGAATTTGTGTAAAGCACCAAAAAAAAAAATGTGGTAAGCGTACAGCTTATTTTTCTACCTTATTCTTTACTTTCTTTTCTACCCAAAATGGCTCATTGCTAACTCACGTCAAGGAGAAATACCTCAGACTACCCTATTCATTTCATAGCCTCACTCCTCATCCTTCTCATCCCTAAGGCAGGTGTGTACATCTTTACATAACCATTATATTAAATACAAACATAGAGCTCGTATTTATGTAATTACTGATTGATACAGAATTAGTCTGTCTTTTGTGTACCAATTTATTGCTGACCGTGGAGGGTCTCTAGAATATGAGGCATTTCAAGACTGGTAGAAATTAAACCTGAAAACATAAGCTATACTCACCTTCCGTTTCCTCTTCCTGGAGTTAAGACCAGACCCCTGATTTCCCCAGAATAATTTTAAGACCCCATTTGGAAAATTCAGGGTAAATAAAGTTCATCAGAATATTTGTCCTGTGTTTTTAAAATATTTATATTGTAATGAAATATATAACACGAAATGTACTATTAGTGTTTTTCTTACCAGTTTTAATTGTACAATTCAGTGCATTAAGTACATTCACAATGTCGTGTAACCATCACCATTAATGTCAGAACTTTTTCATCATTTCAAACAGAAACTCTTTATCCTTTAAGTACTAAAGCCTCATCTTCCCTTCCTTCCTACCTCTAGTAACATCTATTCTATTTTCTGATCTATGAGACATTCTTTATCAGTCTCACCAGGTGTTTATCAATTTTGTTAGTATTTTCTAAAATCTGCTTTTGGCTGTGTTTATCTTCTTTATTCTATGTTTGTTTCATTATGTCATTAATTTCTTCTATTTTTATTATTTATTTTTTTCCTGTATTCTTTGGGTTTATTTAGATGCTATTTTGTTACCTCTAAAAATGAATGCTTAGATTTAATGTTTGCCTTTCCTTTTTCCTAATATATTCATTTAAATCTATAAATATCCCTATATTACTGATTTAGCCATATTCTGCAAGTTTTATTTGGAATAGCTTTATCACTCAGTTCAAAATATTTTCTTATGTCCATTATAATCTCTTATTTGATTCATGGATTATTTAAAATTATATTTTTTCACTTTCCAAAGCATAGATTTTTCTGTTTATATTTTTCTTTTGTTTTCCAGCTTAAAGGCATTTGGTCAGAAAAAGTTCTCTGTATAATTTCAATCTTCTGAAATCTTTGAAATTTGGTGTTTTTTTTTAATTCCACTATATGGTTGATTTTGTAAAATTTCCTATTGTGCCTGATATACTGAATTCTGAAGTTAATACATCTACTTCTATATATGACAGTTAAGTCTGTTAATTCTATTGTTAGAAATTTTATGTCTTTACTGAGTTTCTTCTGAGAAATGATTATTAAATCTTCCTCAAGCGTTGTAAATTTATCTCCTTTTCATTTCTGTCATCTTTTGCTTTGCAAGCCATCTTGAGCATTGTTATTCCTAGGAATCTAGAGTGTTGACAACAGCCCCCATCTTTGGCAGACCCTGAACTCCTATTTTATCCCCTCAGCCCACAAGACTGTCAAAAGCACTGCTTGGCACTAACAAGTACTCACTAACAGGTACCAGGTTAACAAGTACTTTCGAGCAAATGTGGTATTTTGTACAGCTTTTCTAGTTACCATCAGACGCAGGATTTATCCAAATACTTAATGTTCTATTACCAAAAGCAGAAATGCTAACTTGGTGGTTTTTAAAATGTGTTTTAGCTATGGAACTCCTCATGAAACGAGCTTATGTGAAAGCTTGGCACATGAAAGGTAGAAACCCAGAAATGCTGAGGCTCAAAAGTGGCAGAAATCCCAAAGCTTCCCAATTAAGCCTAGGTACAGTAGAATATTGAGCAGGTCTCAAGAACTCTAGTATCCTGGAGAGATATATGTGTATTTCTAACTGACCACCTAGCTTTAGATACACAGTTCTATTTGCTCAAAGTTATTATGAGTCCACCTCTGAGAAATGTCTTTTCATTTGGTATGCATATATTTTTTTTTCTGAGACTGCAAAGTTGAAGGCCACTCTATTCCATGTAATAGATGCCATATACTCTTTAAATCCCCTTAAGAAATATCCTGTAGATCTTTGGTGAAGATAAACCTGGTCCATAACCCTGTCTGAGGTTAGTTCTATTTTCCATCTGTTTTAATTTTATAAACAAATTAACCAAAGTTAAATCTCCTCATAAATTATTTAGGTGTACCTCATAAATTATTTATATTAGGTATATTTACATTTATCTATAAATATTATAAATATAAATTCATATTATCAAGTATACTTCATAAATAAAATGTGTCAATCTTCTACAATTTATTCTACAATACAATGTAGAATATGACTTCTACATTTAAGTAAAATGCTAAAGAGTCTGTTTCTTACTATGAGGAAAAGTAATATGGCCACTTTTTACATGTTGTTAAATTAATGTGACATTAACTTGGGTTTTAACAGCTAGATATTAGGGAGAAATGTTTACTTCCCTTTGCTCCTTGCATTCCAGTGTAGAAGAATTTCACTACTGTGAACTTCCTGGCCTCTTACCAGAACCAAATTACCTGATTTGTGGATTTAAAAGAAGAAAACAGGCATGCTTGGCTCAGCCTCTTTTGTCTTTCTGGCTCTGCCTTTCTGCAGAGAGGATGCATCTTTTCTTACTCTCCTGACAATGTTAAAGGAACTAGACTTTATGGGCTAATGACAGTGGAAGGTTTGCATTGATTCTGCTCTCCCTTTGACTGGATAGGTAAGTTTAATTCCAAAATTCAGTATTAGAAAACTCACTTGGCTCACATCTACACCATGTTCCCCATTGTAACTTTTATCAGTAATAGCACTGTAGAGTAACAGAATAACAGATGATGACCACATGTCTAACTCCAGTATTTCTCTATCAAATGGTTCTGAACTTTGGCAGGAATGAAAGTGTATTTACTGACATCTCAAAATGATTATCATCATAACACTGGGGCCATCCTGGCCATTTGTCAGAAATCCAGAAGTCAAGATTCCATGGATGGGAGTATCTCTTTTGACCACCAGCAGAGGAAGAAAATAAAAAAGTCTGAAGCAACTGTAAAGCATACCTTTATCCTCCAATGTAACCAAGAAGACTCATTCTATTTTGTGTACCCACAAAAGCTACAAGATCCATCAACAGAAATTAGTTTATGAAATCTAGAATTGTAGGAGTGATATTAAAGAGTCTCACGGAATTCCTTCTTAGACTGAAATTTAAGATTTTCCTGACCATGCTCCCAGAGTATCACCCCTTAACAAGAAGGTTCTTCATTTATATGGTATGATGTCCAAACAATGGCTATCATTCTTTTAAATCATACAAAAGTATTAATGAAAAGTATTAAGAGTTTTATTGCAATAATTTGCTCCAGTCAAACCATTAAAATTGCAGAATATAACTTTGATATTTAAATATTTTTATTAATGGTTACTTTTACCACTACTATTATTGTGATCAACCAGCTTCTATTTGTAGAGGAGTAAAAACAGGTTAAATGTCCCGTAACATTACAATGACAGAATCCAAGACAAACAAATATTTAAAATGTTTCTTATTACTTTCTATTAAAAATATTCTGAGCCACTCTGCTGTTACAGGTCATATTTGCAATAAAGTTAGCTTTATTATACTCCCTGAGACTTTTTAAAATAAACAGATCAATTTCTAGGTGTTTTCAAGAAAAGAAAATCCAAGCTATAGTGGTTCCATTTTCCTCATTTTTTTTTTTTTTTTTGTTTGTTTGTTTTGAAATGGAGTTTCGCTCTTGTTACCCAGGCTGGAGCGC